TCTCGACTGAGCTAAGACGGCCCATTGAGAGGTTGACTCGTAGAGTGGGTCATGTATCTTCTTCAAAATTGCCGGCCAATCCACACTGCCCAAATAAAACAAATTGATGTGGTCGTAAGTAAAGGTTCATGAAAGACCGATTGTGGTTCGAGTGTAATTCAGTTAGCTGGGCACGGTCCGACCGGCCAGACGTAGTTCCTGGTACCTATGAGATAGAGGGGTGTTAGGCGGAGGTGGTCGCCTAGGTAGCTAGGCACCTCGGCAGCTAGGCAACTCAGCACTTGAGCAGCTCAGCTAGAGGGTCCTGTCGGGGGACCAACGCCCCGAAGTGGTTTGGGGCTTAGGACATGAAGAGGTTCACAACCTCAAAAACTCTTAGGATCTGGAATATCTGACTTGATTCAGGAGAAGACATGTGGAAGACTTCTAGTCTAATAAGAACTCTTCAGCCTTTAGACAACCTCACCTATAAAAGGGCACATGTTCACTCATTTTACACAACACACGCATATAAATTCTCTCCCGTTTTCTCTTTGGACCACCACTGACTTGAGTATCGGAGCGTTCGCTGAGACCACCTCCGGCGTGTTTTGCAAGTACCAACGATCAAGAAGACGCAACCCGGTTCGGAAAGGAACGGTTGACGTATTTGTGCTATAACACAAATACATGCAAATACACTGATCGATGTCCACTAAATAAAGCACCAATAACGTGAAACATCAGTGACAAAATAAACAAATCAATAAGAACAAAATAGGCTCTTCTACGTGCTTTATCTTAATTAGTTGGGGAGACATTTCCATATCCATGGGTTTGATTAATAATGGCAACTGTTTAAGTACTAACATAGAAGAATAATACCGCTATTCATATAATCTGCTGCTGCAACTTTTCCATTGCCCACAAAACAGTTGTAAATAATGATATATAATCTCGACAAATTTATATTTGATCAGTCACAATATCAAGACTTTTTTTCTTTGTATGGATCAGTTTGTAACACATTAACAATGACAATATCTCTCTCACTGTCATACACAACATACATGATGCATGCCCATCCACCGACCGACCGACCGCATAATCGTACGTTTTTCACTGAAGCTTAAGAGCCTCCATAGGCTTCCCCATGAGCGACAAAACCGTCCCACAAATATGCCTTGCCGACAGACCAGCTGCTTCAATCTGATCATTTGGTGCTCCGTGCTCTATGTACCTATCCGGAAGCACCATCGACCTCAACTGCATTCTCAAAACAAATACAACAAACACATCAAAAACTCGACGCTTCTTGGAGAAGTAGATTAATTTATATAATAATAGGAATGTTCATCATGCATCACCTTGAGGGGTCCGTCCAGAAGGCCGTTCAGGCACAGGAAATGCGAGACGTGGGACCCAAACCCTCCGATCGAGCCTTCCTCTACAGTAATCAATATCTCGTGCTCTTTCGCCAGCCGTCTGATCAGATCACTATCCAATGGCTTGCAGAACCTTGCGTCGACTAACGTGACCGATATGTTATGGGACTTGAGCATTTCTGCAGCCCCCAAACACTGCTGGACTATGGCTCCGTACCCAAGAATCGCCACTTTGCTGCCTTCTAACAGCACTCTTCCTTTACCAACCTGTCATTTTTTTTTTGTTAAAAAATGTAATAATAATTAGAATTAAAATAGAAATTCAGTTAAAGAAATACCAAGAATTAAAATTTTCGATATGAGTGCCTTACTTCAAGTGGAACTCCTTTGTTATTAGGCGGAAGGACAGCCCCCACACCATTTCCCCTCGGGAACCGGAAGCAACTCGGGCGGTCATCTATGGCGGCTGCAGTGGCCACCATGTGCATGAGCTCAGCCTCGTCCGATGGAGCCATCACCACCATGTTCGGCAAGCATGCCATGTAGGTCACATCAAACGCCCCACAATGGGTCGGCCCATCCGCACCCACTAGCCCGGATCGATCCATCGCGAACCGGACGGGCAAACTCTGAAGATCCACATCATGCACCACCTATACCACAAACCATACACATTTCACCACTATTTTTAATTTTTATATAAAAAGGAGCCGACTTTAAAATCATATTTACTCACTTGATCATATCCTCTTTGGAGGAAAGAGGAATAGATGGCACAGAAGGGCTTGAGACCCTCGCAGGCCAAGCCAGCAGCAAATGTGACAGCGTGCTGCTCGGCTATGCCCACATCAAAACATCGTTCGGGAAAACGCTTTTGGAAATAATTGAGACCCGTCCCCCCGCCCATGGCCGCATGGATGGCCACGATCTTGCTGTCTGCTTCCGCTTCTTTGATGAGTGACTCCGCGAAATACTGAGTGTACGAAAGCGTGGCCGTTTTGGCCTTCATTTGCTTTCCAGTACTCGGATCAAATTTAACAACCCCTGAAAAAAGAAAATGGAAAATCAAAATTTACATAGGCAATTAAAAAAAAATACAGGATTAAATTAGAACTAAATAATCTTTACCGTGCATCCTATCGGCGGCTGCCTCGGCCGGCGGATATCCTTTTCCTTTTTCCGTGACGATATGAATCAGAACCGGGCCGGGTGCCGGCATGGTCTTGACCTTTTCGAAGATGTTGACCAAGTCCTCGATGTTGTGGCCGTCCACTGGGCCTATGTAGTAAAGCCCAAGCTCCTCAAACAGCGTAGACCCAGCCGCGCTGATCATCCCCCTCGCGTACTCGTCGACCTTGGCCGCCACTACATGGGCTTGCGGCCCGATCTGCTTCGTTATGCTCTGTCAAAACAAATAAATTGAAAACTTAGAAACATGTGATTTTGAATACATTTCTTTTTTCGTGTTTCAGTTTCAGACAAGGGAGTGAATCTAATTACTTTAGCGGCCTCACGGAGCTGTCTGAACTTGGGGCTGGCTTGGAGCTTGGCGAGGGCGCTGCTGAGGGCACCGACAGGGGTGGCGGGCCCGTCGAGGGTTGCTGTGGGCAGGGACACCTGTTTGTTGTCGTTTAGGACAACGATTAGGTTGGAGTCGAGAAATCCAGCATTGTTCATGGCCTCGTAAGCTTGTCCAGCTGTCATCGCTCCGTCTCCAATCACGGACACCACGTTATTCTTCTTCCCAAGCAGATCTCTCGCCACAGCCATACCTGTAAATTCAAAATGAGTCAAGTATAATTTGGTCTGTGAAATGGAAAATGCGTGCAGTGCAGTGCAGTGGTGGAAAAAAAAAATGTACCAAGTCCAGCTGAGATGCTTGTGGAGCTATGCCCGGCCCCGAAAGCATCATAAATGCTCTCGTCCCTTTTGGGGAAACCGGCTAGCCCTGAAGTTTTTCTGATGGTGTGCATTTTCGACCTCCGACCGGTCAAGATTTTGTGCCCGTATGTCTGAAAAATGTAAATATCCATCCATATATAATACATGACAATATTTTACTTACCTTTTTGGTGAAAGAAAAAAGAAATGTGTACCTGATGGCCTACGTCCCAGATGATTTTGTCATCAGGGGTGTTGAAAACATGGTGCAGGGCCACTGTAAGCTCCACCACTCCTAAGCTTGAGCTCAAGTGTCCTCCAGTTTTCGCCACAGTGTGCACGATTTCGGCTCTCAGCTCGGCTGCCAATTGCTCCAGATCCTGAGCACCAAACTCATTATCAGAAAGCTTAAATTTTGGACAACTTAATCATGAACTAAATCAACCTTGAAACACATATTTTGGTCTTCCAATTACCCGATTCGTCTTATAGACCAACTGAAAGTCATTATGTGTGAGCTCACAACAGTAGATCCGAGTCAACTCATCACAACAAGATTACTTACGGTACAGAATACTGAGTTACACATGCAAGTGCGTGTGTGTGTGTGACTGTGTGTACCTTCTTGGAGAGGTTTTTCATGTGAATCGGATAGTTGATGGTGTCCAACAAGGGCGTGGGTGGCTTTTCCCCCGATGAAAAATCTATCTTCAAACAATCCTTTTCATTATTAACCACCGCCATCATCGTCTTCTTCCCTTCCTCTGCTTCTGACCCACCCTTACAAGCTTTCACACACCACTGACAACATAATATTCAGACAACCGTCGACGTTAAAGACAGCAAAACAACATTAATAATGTAACAAAGCATAGCTTCTGCAAAAATCATTTTTAGAAACCGAAGCAGAATTTTTGAAAACTCTAACCTGTTTTTTGCTTCCACAGTGAAGCTTACGGCCGGTGATGTACGGCATCGTGGATCCGGTCACTTTCACGTAAGCGCCGGCGACGGCCATTTTCCCGACCAGGAGCTGAGCTAATGTTGTTATTCACAGAAGAAAATGTGTGAGACTGTGAGGTGAGCGATTGTTTGCTATAGTTTAGGACAAAATTTGATTTATAAAAGGAAAGCCTACAGAGGACCAACCGGCCTTCAATGAATAAAATAAACAGAGGAAATTCATTTCAGCTTACTTTAAATAATTTAAAAAAAAAAAAATCAAAAAATAGATATCACCCGTATCCCAATACGTTGTCCTCACTCTATGCATGATTAAGATCAGATTGTTATTCCCTTTTATTATAATTTTCCGGCTTCGTTTCTCACGGTGTAATAATTAATTTGGAAAAGATATAAATACTGTGGAAGATTCTACGTTATGGCACCGGAGTTTGTATTCGTTAAATCAACTATCCATGACAGGTACATGATGATCTAACAGTTACAAATCTCGACGGAATGGTTTCGTAACTGGACTGTATTGGACCATTCCGTCGGAGTTTGTATTCGTTAGATCAACTATCCACGACGAGTACATGATAATCTAACAGTTATAAATCCTAACAGAATGATTCCGTAACGAACTGTAGCATTTCTTAATTACTGTAAATAATTTGTTGGCTTTTGCTGATATGGGGCAATTTGATTTTCAATTTTACATGTGACATGGCATGGGACCCATTTAGTATATACAGTGCATGAACCTGAGGGGTGATCTATGTAAGAGTGGGTTGTGTGCAACTCCTTCAAACTTGTCGGGCCATATTCCTTACTCGCCGGGTCAAATAAAGCATTAATAATTTCTCCTACTATTAGACTATATATATTAAGCATTTAATGTGGTGGTCTTATTTAACCACTTGAAAAATAATTTCTTAGTTCACTACTTCTTCAAGCTGAACATCTTATAAATATTTTAACATTTGCATATGTTTGGGAACTATGTTGCTTTTAAACAACTTTTAGAATTGCAGTTGATTATTAGTATTTTGTACCCACAGCAGTTAGAAGAATAAATTTCAATTGTATTATATACGATTAATTTATTAATGAAAAAAAAAAAAATAACTTTTAAATCTCTCGCCTACATTTAGATTTTATTTTGGGTGGAGCTCGAAACATTTATTGATATATCCACTTGATATTAACTACTAGCGTATTTGTATTTATGGTATTAGTTTCAAACTGCAGAACAAAAGAAGTAAATAAATGCTATTAGATCAGGACCAACTATTGAATTGGTATGGTAAACTCTGCAAAAACTCGTTAGAAGAACCGTAACTCAGAGCATCTACAATGCATTAGGTCTAGTCTTGCATATGTGGCACGTAAATAAACCCAAGTCTTGAATGACATGGATAAAACTATGTAAAATTAACAAAACTCATTCCAATGCAAAGAGATTAGGTTTCTGCTTGAGTCTAAAATAGACTTAAGGGTAGACCGGGTCTCTTTTTCTGACTGCCACATAAGCAGGACCCAGTCTACTTTTGTTTGCATTAGAGAATAATTTTTTTTAGATTGAGTCTACTTATTAGGTGTCATAAAATTTTTTGAGATTGAACCCAATGCATTGTGGATACTCTTACGGTTGAGTTTTTCTTTGTTTTTCGTTTTGTTAATTCAACTTCTTTGCCTTTAGTCTTCTTTATAAAGTTTTATTAGTATCCTGTATGGAATTGAAGGGATAGGATAGAAGAAGAGACAAAAGGGAATTATTTTATTAATCTTAATTAGGGTGCAGCACGTGGTATCTATATATATATAATTACTAGCCAATAGCATTTAATAAAACCTAATTAATTTTACCTATGTGGCAATTTAATATTTTTCCCTCCAAAAACCGTTACTTTTTTATGTATTTAATCTTTCATTTAATTATTAAATAATCAATACTAATCACATCAAAATTACAAAAATCATTTTAAACTTTTTATTAGTGACAGCTGACCATATAATGTGTTGATCGTACAATGTGATTAGATGTTATTATTGTGGTTACATTTAAATTAAAAACGTATTTGAAATTCCTAATAAATGATAAATAATTCAAAAAAGACGTACCAAAATATACATTACATCCAATCAGATAAACACAATTTTTTTTTTAAAAAGTAAATATTCCAACTTCTTTATTTGTAAATTTGGCATGCAAAAAAGTGAAAGAAAAATAATTAATCATTATATGCATAAAATAACTCACAACACTTTATTTACATCTGTGCAAATGCACAGGGTCGAATACTAGTGTTATTTAATTATAGGTGAAATACTCTTAATTAGTCCATCATATCTACGCGTAGTACTTTATTATTATCAATTAACTGATACTAATATGACACCGTGTATATTCTATTTATAAAAAAAAAGTACTTTATTATAAAAAAAAATAGAGTATTTACTATTTATAAATCTATAGTGTGTTTACTATTTATAATGGCACACAATTTTTGTGGAGAATAAATGATAATTTTATTATTCTTAATTACGAAATTTACTTATTATTTTAATATCATAAAAACATTCCATCTTTTGTATACTTCATTTAAGTAGATACATAAATTTTTTAAAATTGTTCATATTCATCTACGTTTATACTTCTTTTTTCATCTATGTTTATACTTAATCTCTGCATTTTATTTTAAACTATAGAAAATACAAAAATGATATTTTTTACTGTATATTTATCTAAATATTTCTTATTTTTTTAGATAATATATAGTTTATGTGATTTTTTTAGTTTGGCATGATTTAAATTTAATTTATATTTATAAAGATAGATGACATTGATTTTAAATATATGTGATATTGATGTCAAAAATTGAAGATTGTCCAAATATAACTAATTCGATGTATTGTGTCTAAAAAATAATACAAATATAAAAGTTATTAAACTTATGGTAATCAATAAATTAAATGAACAAAAACAAATAATGTATGTTAAATAAATGCATACTTACCAAAATTACCAATAGCATATTTATGTGATTATGTCAAATACCAAACATAATTTTAAACTTGTTAAATAATGTATAAACAAACCAAATTGCGAAATATAACATTTTGTCACGACATCATTCGAAGTGTGGGAGCCATCATGTAAGTTCAACACCTTTTGAATTAAATATAATATAGCGGGATTTGAATAAATTTATCCTAGTCGTACAAGCAAAGTATCTAACTGTGTGCATGTGAGAGAGAAATTGAAAGGAATATATATATACATATGTGTGTGTTCATGTATTAATTTCACAATCAAAGTATCTAACTGTGTGCATGTGACTATGTGAGAGAGAAATTGAAAGGAATATATATACACATGTGTGTGTTCATGTGTTTCACCATCACGATCACCAATAGACGTGACCACCGGCCCAACCTGCCGGTTCAACGGTCTTCATTGCACTGAATTGGAACCGGGCCTGCCTAATTGATAGTTAAGGTTAGGGAACCGGCAGAGCAAAGCCAGTCCTAGTTTGAAACCATTTTTATTTATTTATTTATTTCACTTATGAAAAAAAAA